CCCCAAAACCCCAAAACCCCAAAACCCCAAAACCCCGTTTGTTAGATAACTTATTGAAGTAAAATTGTCACATCTAGGATTGATTGAATACAACTTTACTCATTTAGCCACTTTTCTCTCTTTCCATCCTCCCAAATCCCTTGCTTAGTATCTCCTGAAGCAGTAGTAAACTTGCCTTGGCCATGTTGTTTGCCTGATTCCCACATTCCTTCGTATCTTCTTCCATCACCCCATTGAAGTATACCAAAGCCCTCTCTTTTGTCTTCCACAAAGAAACCTTCATATAATTTTCCATCTGCCCACTGAAGTTTCCCGTGACCACTCATCTTGTTATACTCCCAGTATCCAACATAAATTTTCCCATCAGTCCAAAGATACTCTCCATAGCCATTAATTTCATCATCACTAAAATTTCCATTGTACTTAGAACCATCATGAAATAAAAGCTCTCCTTTGCCATTCTTCTCTCCATCTCTGTATTCCCCAGAGAATCTCACTCCGTCTGGCCAAGTTTCAACTCCAACCCCATGCCTTTTATCCTGGTCCCAGTCTCCTTCATATCTAACTCCGTTGGTATGTTGGTACACTCCTTTGCCATGGGCTTTATCGTCCTTCCAGTCGCCTTCGTAGACATCTCCGTCTGCATGGAAGAGTTTGCCAAGACCGTTTGCCTTATCATATCTCCATTCCCCTTCATATTTTGAGCCGTCTCTCCAAATTTGAGTTCCATAACCATGTCTTTGATCACCAACCCATTCTCCATTGTACTTAGCTCCACTTGGTAATTCTTTTTCTGGTCTCTTTTCTGGCTTATCGTTCCCAGTCGTTGTTTCAGAGTTATCCTTAGAAGATTCTTCAGCTTTGGATGAGGGATCTTCAGGAATTTTGTCTTCCTCTATTGAGAGTTTTGTGTGTATTTCTGGAAGCAATAACATTTTTACCTTGTTACTTTCCAATCGATCTTTCTGTTCTTCAGAAATAGTGCTATCTTGACTCTCAAGTGAATACATTGTACAATTTTGCCCCATAATGTGTACTGATTTAATTTTTTAATAAAATATCAACACTTAGGACTTATTTCGGGGTTTTGGGGTTTTGGGGTTTTGGGG